TTTCCCCGAGAATTCTGGTGGCTCTGCCTCCACCTCCAGGCTGCTACAGAGCCGCCCTGTGTCACTTGAACTGCAACATACTGTTTTGTATATGACTCATTTTTGCTTAATCTCCCAAGTCTTTTAGAATCTGCTCTTTATGCCTAGTTTCCCCAAATTTCATCATAACAGGTCCCTGGGTTGAGGCCTTTGTGGTCACTGGGCTGAGTGTTAGGACGGCTTCTCCGTCTAGAAATTCATGGTCCTCCATTTTGGAACTTTTTGTTTTTGTAAAGATTGGCACCTGAGCTAACGTCTGTTGCCAATCTTCTTTCTTCTCCTTCTCCTCCTCCTCCCCAAAGCCCCCAGTACATAGTTGTAGATTCTAGTTGTGAGTGTCTCTGGTTGTGCTGTGTGGGATGCCGCCTCAGCATGGCCTGATGAGCGGTGCCATGTCTGCGCCCAGGATCGGAACCAGTGAGACCCTGGGCCACCAAAGTGGAACGAGTGAACGTAACCACTTGGCCACGGGGCCGGCCCCTGGAACTTTTTTCTTGTATTTTTTTTTTTTTTTTTTTTTTGGGAATTCATACCCCCTACTTTATCCATACTGTCCCCGTATGAGATACAGGGCTGACTCAAGGACTCCTGTAAATGTCTCACCTCTGTTCTGGCCCATTTTATAAACGAATCTTTATCTACTATCTGGGAAATTTTTTCTCGATATTTTCTTCCAACTCTTCTATAATTATTTTTTTTTAAATCAGCTTTCATACTTAAAATGTTGAGGAGCTTGTCCTCATTCTCCTAAACTTCCCCCTTTTGAGCAAACCATTCTTGCTTTCTGGTGGCGCTGTCCTCTCCTCCCTCGGCGGGTGCTAATAACAAACCTCTGAAGTTCTCCTCTCTTCTCTGCGTTTTCCCCACTTCCTCCTCATTCCTTTTTATGTTTGTTTCTTTTTGTCGACCCTCATTTGGAAGCTTTTCTCAAATGTCTTATGAATGTATCTTTTTAATAAAACGCCAGTTCCAGTAGGGCTTCCTATAACTTACTTGTAACTGAGCCGTCTGGGGATCCTGGGAGGAGACACTCACATGCTCCTGAGGAGGACACCCGACCTTGGCCAGGGCACCATCCTACCCTGTCCTTCCTGGGAAACAGGTCCACGTGGATGAGCTCACCTCCCCCACCACGGGGAGCACATTTGACCCCACATCAGCCAATCAAAGTACTCCTTTCTCCCTGATTGGTTCAAGGATCAGCATGTGACCCCTGCCCGACCAATCAGAATCCTCCCTGGGACATTCTACCAGCAGGATTTGGCTTGAAGAATTCTCTTTCTACTGGGGTTGCTAAACTGGCAGCCCATAAGCCTTTGGTGGCTGGTGACCACAGGGAAGGAGTCTCTCAGGAAGATGGAGAGAAAGAGGCCTGAAAATAATGCCTGAGTGCCTGGATCCAGCCATTCCTGAAGCTAGGTATCTCTTGATTCCCAGTGCCATGAGCAAGTAGATCCCCTTTTTTAAACCTAGGTGAGCTAGGTTTCTGTCATTTGCAGCCCAAATGCTCCTGAACTACTCCCTAGACTCTTTTCTTGCTCTCAGCCTCTAATGTTGGTTGTCTGCTAAAGCCCCACGGGTGAGGAGTCCCATCTGGGCTCAACTTGAGACGAGTAGAGAAGCTGGGGTGAGAAAATAGAATTGCATTTGTAATGGAATTGCATTTATGAGCAGATCATGGTGGTTTTGGAAAATCACTTCCAACTCATGGAGCAAATTTCTCCCCTCAGCAAACTCCAGGGGCTGCAAGTTCTGTGAGCGCATATCATGGCAGGAGGGAGGAACGGGGTGGGGGAGCTCGTGAGAGCAAAGGGCTGGAGGATGGACAGACTCAATCATTCTCTGCTTTTGATGGTAGCTACTTAATTTCCTTCCTGAAGAGACCAGCGCTGACCGCCAGCCTCCAGTAACTGCCGGCAATGCTTCGTCAGCGTGTTTATGACAATTTAATCATACAGAGTGGGGAAATCTCGCAGGAAGATGAGTCCCCTGGCTTGGGCTGGTGGTGGGAGCTGAGGCTGAGTTCCAGCTGCATTCTGATCCTCCACCGACGTGCCCTGGTTAACCGCAGACCTCGGGCAAACTCTGGGGCAGGCAGCGGCTTTTCAGCTCACCACAGAGGGAAAGCAACGCCAGAAACCACAAGCCCAGTCGGATTCCAAGCCTCTGCTACCTGGTGGCGTGTTTGCAGACCGGATATCCCAAGAGGGAATGATTTGGGGGCCCCAGGTCACCATGGTGGCCGAGATAACTTTGCCTGCAGTAGGCCGGGCCAATTCCAGCCCCTAGGACAAGACCCCCCACCCTTGCCTCCCATAGTGCATCCAGCTTCCTTGTTGCACAGCCCTGCCCAGTTCTCCCTGGAAGGCGTGTGAGGCGGGGCTGGGCTCATACAGAACCGGGTGTCAAGTCCACTCTCTGAGGCGCGTGGGGTCTGGCTCCTGCTTCCAGCCAACCTCCCACTTCTTCTTCTTCTTTTTTTTTGGTGAAGAAGATTGGCCCTGAGTGAACATCTGTGGCCAATCTTCCTCTTTTTCTTCTTCCCTCCCCAAAGCCCCAATACATAGTTGTATCTCCTAGTCGTAGGTCCTTCTAGTTCTTCTATGTGGGATGCCATCACAGCATGGCCGGATGAGCGGTACGTAGGTCCCCACCCAGGATCCGAACTGGCGAACCCTGGGCCATTGAAGTGGAGCACGAATCTAACTGCTGCGCCACCGGGCCGACCCCTAACCTCCCACCTCTGTCTTCTTTGTGCTCTGCTCCCTGCCCCACTGCCGTGGTGCTCTGGATCAACCGTCTTCTTCTCCTCACCCTCGCGCCTTTGCCCGGGCTCTGCCCCTGTCGACAGCACCATGCCTGTCCCCCCGGCCTCCCCCTGGGCTGGGTGTGGAAGAAGAAGCTCTCGGGTTCCCTCTTCCCCAGGAGGCCTCGGAGCCGCCAGGCCGTGTCTGGACTCCCTTCACTCCCCGTGACTACTCCTGCTCGGGACGCAGCACCCGGGCCCGCCTATCTGCTGACCGTGAACTGCCCACTGAGGGCAGGGCTTCGCTCCGTCTCGCTGCAGCCCAGGGCCTGGCGCACAGGAGGGGTCAGCGACGGGGCCTGTGCCACATACGCTGGCGGCTCAGGAGTGAAAAGCCGGGGCCCCTGAGCCCGGGGAACACGCTCGCCTGGGCTGGGGCTACAGCAGCCTTCTGCTGCTCCTGCCTGTCTGGCCGCATCCCTTTTCTGGTAACTTTAGAGAACCACCCATCCGCCCTGAAGCCACGTGACGGGCACTGGCCGACCCTCCTCCTGCTTCCTGGGATAGATCACGGGACACAGGTGGCTAATCACAGCATTCCATTGCTCAGGCCAATGACCAGGTCAGGGATGGGCACATGACCAAAGCCACCCAATGTGGCTTTTGCTATGGGAGGCAGTGCTCTCCTTCCACGAGGCAGCTAAGCTGTGGCATGGGGGCCTGGAGCTTCCAGGGGCCATCTTTGGGAACACAGAGGAAAGCACAGCAGAGAGGTGGAGAGAGGGAGGCTGAGTCTTAAGACATTGTCTCAGCTGGATCCAGATATTCCTGAAGCAGGCTTTATGCTTGCACTTGTCTGTATTAGAAGAAGTAGTGCATACTTTTTTGTGCTAAAGTGGGTCCCAGCTTTCTGTCATCTACAACCAAATGAGTCTTGATGAATACAGAGAGACAGACGAGGAACAAGGCCATGACAGGGCAGTGAGGCATGGGTTTGACAGGGCAGCACAGGAGACTTCAGGAACAGAGAAGAGACTCAGGCTGGACCAGGAGCTCAGGAAGCCTTCCTGGATGAGGTCGTGTCTCAGCTGAGACCTGCAGGCTGAGTAGCAAGGAGCTCAGGAAAGGGGAGGGCAGGGATGGGCAGGGGTGAGCAGAGGCAAGAGGGACACGCTGCACTGGGAAACCAAAATCTGACTGGAGCTGACTTCCACACTAAGGGGACACATTGGCTCATGTAATGGACAAATGCAAAGTCAGATCCTGCTTCAGGAATGACTGGATCCAGGAGCTCCAACAATGCCTTAAGATTCCCCTTTAAGGGACATACCACAAGTGCTGTGTGTTGGTCCAGGCACTGATCAACATGTCAGGGCACCTTCCAGTGCAGTTGGAAAAGGAAGTCAAAATTCGTTTGATGACATTCTTTGCTGAGGCTCTGTGGTGAGCCAGCCCCTCCTCCCCCAAGGGGACATGGCTCCTGGGCTTTGGACCCCCACAGTCCAGTCGAGGAGACACAGCAGAGAGGGAGAAAGGCCGACCTGAGGTGCGAGTGTGGCATTCGGAGAGCCAGCGGATGCGTGGCTGGGTGTGCACATGGGGGGCCTAAGTCCTCTCCCACAAGGGGCCTGCCAGCTGACGGCCACCTTCCTCTGTGCTTCTCCGACTTCCTCCCCAAGTGACCCCCGGTCCCCACCCCACTCCTTGGTTCTGGAAATGCTGCGGTGCCTACACCCCCTCCAAGGGAACTCAGCCCCGTGAGCGCCACATCTGGCCTCTGACAAACATCCCCCAACGATTGGCCAGCTGAGGTCACCTGACCACGGGCTGGCCAGTGACTTCCACTGGGGCGTGGAGGGCAGGGATTTGTCCCCTGGAAGTTCAGCCAAGAAAACCTGAGAGATCAAGGCTGAGGCAGGAAAGTTCCAGAAAGGTCAGGTGACAAAGCAGTCAGGCGGCCGTGATGGGCCTTGAGGAAGCTAGGTCCTGAGTGAGGAGTTGAGAGCAGGCGCCACGGTGGGAGGCAGACCCGGGAGGAAGTGGGGACAGTGGCCTGGGCCACCCAGGAGGTCAGCCCACCTCCTCTCCACACCCTGAGGGTCCCCAAGGTGACCCCTGTCGGCTGGCCCTGGCCACCAGCAGGCCCTGCCCTCGCCCAGCCCCACGCCAGGCCCGGCCCAAACGCTGGCTCACGCTGGCCATGTGTCAGGAGGCGAGCAGGTCAAACAGGAGGTTTATGGAGCACAAGACAGCACGGGCCCCAGGGCTGCGCGCTTCCCACCCCCGCAACCCCCTCAAAACCCTCCCACCCCCAACCCCGCCCCTATCTGTTCCGGGCCCACCTCCCCGGACCCGCCCAGGGCTCCCCACTCAGCAGTCGTCTTCTTCAGTTTTGGTTTTGGTTTTGGTTTCGGTTTCGGGACCCCTGCTTTCAAGAGCCGCAGCTTCTAGCTGGCAGATGAGCGTGGAAAAGCTGACAGGGGCGGCACGACCTGCGTCACCAGGGCGCTCACCTCCGGAGGGCGCAGGATCTGGGGGAACAGAAGATGTCGCCAAAGGAACACGTGAGCCGCCTCACCTTGAATAACCAAGGCGATTTGGTTCACTGGGGACTGAGGCCACTCTCCCGGCCACAGGCTTGCCAGGTCGACTGGCCTTGTGTCCCCAGCCCCAAGGCGCCTGTTCCTTCTTGCCCAGACCATTGCAGTAGCTCCCTGCTTCCACTAGGGCCCCGTTTGCTGTCTGCGTCTGGCTCGGTGAGACTTTTAAATCGTGCCGCACATCATGATGCCCCAGCTCAGAGCCTCAGGGCTCCCAGCTCCCTTCAGGTAAGATCCGGACTTTTCCTCTGGCATTCCATGCTCTGAGAGACGGGCCCTTGCTCATCCGACCTGCCCCCTCCTGCTCCCTAGGCCCCTGCGCCCGACTCTGAGCATGAGCACCGCGAGGCCCCTGCACTTGCTGTTCCCTCCACCTGCCAGGTGGCTCCTTCCTCCCCTCAGCTCAGCTCAGACGTCACCTCCTCCAGGAGCCCTCTCTGACTGTCTGGCTAAAGCAGCTCCTCCCTCACCGTGGCCACTACCCATCCCTCCTCCGAGTTTATTGGTTTTTTTACAACGCTGGTCTTTCTGAAATGCTGGATTGCTTCCTGAGCTCCCTCTATTCCTTACTGGACTCTGGCCTCCCCTGCGGGCACTGTGTCTGTTTTGCTCACGGCTGTATCTCCAGGTGAGGGGGCATTGGAGGCGAGAGCGGAGCCTGAGTGCCCTGCTGTGCTGGGCCATCTGGGACACGGCCATCTGGATGAGAGGACCCTCTCGATGTCCAGGACAAGTGTCCAAGGGGGCTTCAGGCACTGGCTGGTGGATGCTGGCGAGTCCCCAGCCTCCAGCCAGTCCCGGCTTCCTAGGCATTGGTGGCACCATCGCAATTCCTCGGTCTAAATCCCAGAAAGTCTAGGAGCTGAACTCCTTCTCATCCTGTCTTCACACTGAAGCAGACTCCTCATCACAGCCCACTCCAGCTCAAAGTCCCTCTTTGGCTCCCCAGGGCCTTCGCATGGACTCTGAGGTCCTCACTGCGGCCCGGAGCTGTGCTGGCCTCTGCTCTCCCCGCTGGAGCACACACCCCTGCCCAGCCCAGCATGCCGTTCCCACCTGCCGCCCACACTTGTCCGCCCGCTGGGTGAACCACCCCCACCGCCCGCCTTGCTCTGAAGCTGTGCCTGCCGGCTGCGTCAGGAGCCTCATCTGTGCAAAGTGGAATCGCCTGGCTCTGCAAGCGGGCCGTCAAGCCTCTGGGGACAGGAGCTGTGGCCGGGCTGCTAACTGGACCAGTGTCCCATCTCCTCTTCTTCCTGTCGGCAGTGGCCTCCTCCCCTGAGTCTCAGCTGGGCTCACGTGACATTTCCCAGCCCCCCTTGCAGCCAAGCCAGGCCCTTGGGTGGAGCCTGGGAGCGGCGGGTGTGCTTGGTCGAAGAGGAAGGCTGGCCCTCCGGAGCCACTCTCCCCACAGATGGGGACAGAGCCCATGGGACGGCCGAGCGCTGAGGTCAAAGCACCTGGGGTCTGCACCCACCGCCAGCCTGTGGGCCCCCCTTGAGTGAGACCTGAGCCTCGAGCAGGTGGGAGCCACTGTTCGGGGTCTTTGCTGCACGGTGCAGCCTGTCCTGAGTGGGAGCCCTGTTTGCTGCAGCAGCCCGGCGCCCTTCTCGAGGCCTAGAGGGATGAGGAGGATGGCCCTTCATGGCGTCTGAGGCTGGTCTGCAGAGCTCGCCGGGTCCTGCCCACAACCGACGGAGCAACAGGCTCTTATCCTCCTCCTACTGACGGGGAAACAGGCCCAGAGAGCTAGGGGACGGGGCAGGTGGCTCGGCTGGAAAGACCTGACCTCACGCATTCGAACTCCAGAGCTCTGCTCTTTGCCCCCAGACCCTGGGCGACGGGGACTCGTGAATGAAGGAAAGACGGCAGGAAGGCAGGAGGGAAGGTAGATGGAAGAAAGAGAGAGACAGACAGGAGGAAAGAAGGAAAGAGAGAGAGAGAGAACGCGCAGGAGCCCCACCCGGCCCAGGCTCACCTGTGTCCTCTCCAGGCTCCCCAGGGCCCCACCTGCTGTCCCCAGGTCCTGTGACTCCTCCTGGACCCGCCGCACCTGGGCTGACAGTCATCCTGTTGTTGTTGCCGATGGTGGTGTCCTCAAGGAAGCACGAACTGATGTGGACTCTCTGGACCACGTCCCCCCTGGGATGGGGGCCTGGTTCGGGCATTTGCGTTTCGAACACAGTTTCTGGGCCGGCAGAGGTGGCAGAGACTGTGGGACAGCCAAAGAGAGAGATGCCAGCAGGGGCGTGTGAGCAGCTGGATGGTGGCCCCGGAGCCGTGACCCCCAGCCTGGCTTTCAAGTCCTCCATGGCCCACTGTCTTCCCCCAGCATCCCCCCAGTGGCCCACGCCCTGCTCTTTAGTGAGACTTTCCTGCCTCTGCACACACCTCTGCCTGGGATGCCGGCTCTCTCTGCCCCACCACCACCACCCTGGTCTGCCAGCTCGGGTCCCGCCTCCTCCTGCAGCCCAGCACAGCCGACCTGGTCCTCAGTGTCCTCCCCTGGGACTCAGTCTCTCCCTCCTCCTGCTGCCTCCTGCTCGTCTCTGCTGTCTGCTTCCCAGCAGCCCTGGAACGCAGGCTCCATCTCTGGTTAAAGTCTTCACGTGGTCCCCAGCTGGGTCCCCAGCCCCGGCATCTCGCTCCTGCCTCTCCCACCCCACTTGGGAAAAGAGTTGTCCACATTCAGTCTCGCCTCCTCCACACCCCACGCTCTTTCTGTCCCCTCAGGTTGCCACCGACCCCTTGCCGCTGGACCTCGTGGAACTCCCCCCACCTCACTGGTGTCCTGTCTTCTGGAAACTCAGCTCCTGGCATCCCCAGCTGCCCCCTCCCTCTCAGGCCTCTCTGCTGTCTTCCTCCCTGGCCTGTCTCGGGATGGCCAGTGCCCGGGGAGGGTGCGACCCAGGCCCTGTGCTCACTGGTCACAGCACTCAGGAGGGCATCAGGCGCTCCACTTAGGTGGCTCCTGTCCTCCTGCCTCCTTAGATGCCATTCCAGCCTGGCCATGTCCTCTGTCCCCACTTCAGCTGACCCAGCCTCTGCTTCCCCATGTCCACTGTGCAGACGAGGACACTGAGGCTCCCTGGGGGGGCGGGTAGTAGGGGATGGGAACCCCAGGTGCTAACTCTAAAAGCCCCACCTGCTCCACTCTGTGGTACAGCCTCTGGTAGAAGGAAAGGAATTTCCCATCATGCCTCTCCCTGCAAAGCCTGGCTCAAGTTCCACCCAGCGACTAGCTGAATGGGTGGGGTAAGGGCGGGTCTGGCCTTGTGAGCCCATTACCTGGGTGGCTGCCGAAGGGGCTGCGGGCAGGTCCCTCAGCCGGGGCGCTGGGAGAGTTCATCTCGTTGCCGTGTCCCATTTGCACCCGTCTGAGCACAGACTCCTCCAGGTGGATGTCCTGGGGGCCCCAGGCTCCAGCCGGGAGACCCTGAGCTGAGGGATCAGCTGGTGCTGTTGGTGGGAGGTGGAGGGGAGCCGTGGAACCTGGCAGGGGACACAGCAACATGACCTCTGTCCTCCACACTCTGACTCCCTGCCCCCTGCCTACACGCACCTAAGCTCTGGCTGGACAGAGGGGACAGGCCTCTGAATTCTCCCTGGACACCCGTGGACTGGGAATGCTTATTTCCAGCTCAGGACTAAAGAACAGGTGGACCCAGTAGAACAGGTGCACGGGGTTCCCCAGGTTTTTACGACTCCAGGTGGGCTGGGGTGTCCCTGGGGCACTCGAAAACCCAAACATGAGCGTCCTCTGCTTCCCAGATGTTCTCAGTCCTCTGGGCTCATCTGGAGAAAGTCCCCTTTGGGGTTACCGTATCTTTAAGGTCCCTCAACACCCCAGCACCCAGGGCCTCCGACAGGGTTTTATTTTCTCAGCATTTATTTTTGTGGTGACCTTCCTGGTTTTCAAGTCAAAGTAATGCTATAAAAGTTTAAAATAAATTTGAGTAGAATAAAAAGGTAAACCATTTAACAACAGTAAGTAAATAATCAGACACAGGCATGGCCACAATTGGGAAGGGGGGCTCCGAGGACTGGAGTCAGGGAAGGGCGCAGCTAGACTCTAGAGCAAAGCTCCTCATTTCGTAGTTGGGGAAACGGAGCCCCAGAGTGGGGAAGGGCTCTCCTGAGGTCACAGAGTGTCCTAACTTCTAGGCTGAGACCCTAACTCCTGGGTCCCCCGGCTGGACACAGGTGGCCCTGACCCTCTCGCCACAGTGCCTGGCGTGGGGCAAGGGCTCACGTGCAGGAGGTATTTCATCAGAACTAGGTTGCCACTGGTAAGATGCATCCCGGTTTCGGAGATGTTAAAATGTGTGACAAACTAGTGTCTCAGGACAAATAAAATACTACAAGGACCTCCTGTGACAGTCCACCGAGGGAGAGTGAAATGAGTTGTTTCTTATGAAAAAATATCTGGTCCCATTGAAAGTAAGGAAAAGGTATTTGAATGAAAGGAAAGCAGGGAAGGTTTGATCCAGATGCAAAGAAAGACTTCCTCATCCTAAGGTGGGCCACAAAGGAGGACTTCGGAGATCTGAGAACAGCTCTTTCTCTTTGGAGGGTTGAACGCCCCCCACTCCCTGCCCGCCCCCCCGATGGTACCAGTGACCCCTAGGGGTCCCTGAGCTGGGTGTCTCTCAGGGGACTCACCGTTCTCCCCAGAGGCCATTTGTTTCACCATGGTATTCCCATGTCCAATCTGGATGCCTTCAGAATTCTGGATGGAAATTTGGCTGTTTGGTCCATTCTGACAGATCATGGTGACGGGATTTTGCTGGTAAATAACTGTGGTGGGCTGATTTCTTCTTCCAGAATCTTCTGCAAAATAATATTCCACTTGATCCCTTCGCACCTCTCTAGGGATCAGGGGCTCCGAATACCAGCTGGCAGCATCTTGTTAAAACACAGATCCCCAGACGCCCGCCCTGGGGTGCTAAGTCAGTGGGTCCAAGGGCAGCCAAACGCCACAGGCATCTCCGAGGGCCCGGCTTGGACATCGCCACCGGGGTCACTCTACTTGTGCATCCCCTGCCACCCGGAGCATCGAGGGAGCCTTGCGGCTCACCCACCGTCTGCCCCTCCCTGCGAGGCCCCTGGGCCCTGACCCCCAAGAGCTGGGCCTCTTCCTCCAGTGGGCCCTGCAGGGCGCCGTCCGCGGGCTGCTTCTGGACACCAGATAAGCTTTGTTTGGCTCACACGGCATTTTTAAGAATCTCAATCTCTCATCAGCATTTAAAATCCAGCCGCTGTCACGTGCTCATCCCTAGGATGCTGAGACACTTTGGGCCCCGTGAGCAGGGGCGTCGGCCCCATGTAGGGTAGGGAGGCACCTGCCGGGGCTTGGCCAACTCCCTACAGGGAGCCATGTTCCCCCTTCGTGGGCCCTCAGCTCTTGTGACTTTGTGGGCCCCTTCCTCCATAAAAAAATATTTAAAATGACATTTTATGACTGTGTTGATAAAGAGAAATAGAATCTAGCCTAGAGTCATTTTAGCTATTCATTCTTATTATAATATTCATTGTGTCTTCGAGTTTTAAGAGAAATTAGATCATTTCCGTGGACCCCCGAAAGAACTGTGGGCTCCAGGCCCTGCAGCTGCCTCACCTAATGGGCACGTTGGCCCTGAGTGGGCCTCCGCCCTGCGGGCTTCTGAGCCCAGCCTGACCTTCCCTCCCAGCAACTTTCACACTCCAAGTGGGGTAAAGAGCTTACAGAAATTGTCAGCAAACCTGCACCCCGGGGCCACCTCCCCTCCCAGCCCCCTGCCTTCTGCAACTGCAGCCTCAAGCGACACCTCCAGGAAGCCCTCCCTGGTTACTCCTGCCAGCACGTCCCTCCCTTCTGGAACCCCCTTCCAATGACAGGTCAGCAAGTCCACTGCAAGCTTCCGGGAGGGCCTGGCCAGCAGAAGCAGGCCAAGTGTTTATCAGGGCACCCAGCAAGGACCAAGTGTCAGGCATTGTGGTTTCTCGTCACAGCTCTGCCCCTCTGCCCTGTCCAGGTGTGGGCAGCAAGCAAGGGCCTACCTGGTCGATAAACTGCCCACACATCTAAATTCGTGTCATGGTGCAGGAGGTGTTTGCGCTCCATGTCATACAAGTTGTGGTTGACTTCTTTTTTTGTCTCTAATCCCAGGGCTTTCGTGATGGTCAAGGCCTTATGGGGCCCATCGGCTTTCAGAAAGTTGTAGATCATTTCCTCTGCAAGGCAGGGTGGTGGGTGGTTAAGGAGGACCCCCAGAGCTTGAATTTTCTCCTCTGCTCACTAGCTGTGCGGCCTGGGACAGACCCAGCCCGTCAGCGCGCAGGGCCCTCATGTGTAAAATGGCGTAATAACCGTGCCCGCAGGGGTTGTTCTGCGCATCAGGGATGTACCGAAAGTGCTCCCAGCAGTGCCGGGCACGAGGCCAGCGCACAATGAACGTCGACTGCTGAGCAGAGAGTTCTCAGCCATTTAACTTCTTCCACTGTGAACACTGATCTTGCCTCTAACACTTTGTGGGAACTTCTCAGTGGGGGCAGGTGACCCCTGAACACTCGTAACATCTCAAGTGGCCACAGAGTTCGGGGGCGGAGGAAGTGGGCCCCGTATCCCAGGAGCTGGAAGGAAACCAGGGCGCTTACGCAGACGCCGTTCACCGAGCTGAGAGGCACGGTTCTCTGGAGTTGCAGCCGCTTCCTGCAGGGGTCTCTCTGCTGGAGAAAGAAAGATGGGTCAGGAGGCAGAGGAACGGGAGAGGGGACAGGGACTCTACCGGACAAGGGTGGCCACTTGATGGTGGTCCCCAGCACACAGGGTTCCAAACTCAGGTTCTAGAGTAAATAAACCTGGCTTCAAATGCTGCCCTGCTCCTCCCCAGCCGGGAGGCTGCCCTCTGATGGGCCTCCCTGGGAAGAGGGAGGGACGCTGTGCGCCCTCCTCCGGGGTTGTGGGTGGGCCGGGTGAGCCCCCGACTCCACAGTGGCCCCTGGAAGCTCTTGGGTCTGTGAGCTGCTGAACCGGAAGGGAAGATCTAGCATGATGCTGTCCGTTCTATCATTATTATCTCTATCATTGTTGTCATCGTTATCATTTTCTGTTATTATTATTAATGTTTTGCTCTGCACCTACTACGTGCTGGCACCAGGCTGAGCCCTTTGCATCTAATCCTCTTGCAACCCTAGGATGCAGCCCTACTGTCATCTCCGTCAGCCAGAAAGAAGAGTCAAGGCACCATGAGGGGACCTCATGTGCCCCCGAGGGGCAGAGCCCGTACTCGAACCCAGGCCCAAATCCATGCCGGGTCTGCCCCGCCCCCGGCTGGCAGGTTACCCCGGCTGGGCTGGGCCTGCTCTGCGGGGATCGCTCCTCCAGTCTCGCCCTTGCCCAGACGCCACGTCGCCAGGCCTTCGAGGTCGACTTTGAGCTCCGTCTTCATCCGGTAGAGGACTCGGTTGAGTGTCTTCTTGGACACTCCACACTCCTTGGCCAGCTTGATCGCTTTCACAGGGGAGCCGGCGTCCCTCAGCACCTGCAGGATCTTCTGCTCAAGGTCTGGGAGAGGGAGAGAGGGGCCGAGAGAGAACTGAGTGCACCTACGATGGAGCCCTGGCTGGAGGCTCCAGGGCCGCGGAGACCCCCTGAGAGAGGGGTCCCAGGCAGAGGGAGGGGCGGAGACCCGAGCAGACATCCACCAACAACGCCTCTGTTCAGTGAGGGGCATGTGGGCTGGTCAGAAGTGACCTTGGCTGGACAGGCCGGTGGCCAGAGGAGGTGCCCAGGCCATCCGAGGGTCCTCTGCCTGGTGCAAGTGCTCAAGGGCAGTGGGAATGTTTGCTCCGAGGCTCAGGTCTCAGGCCTCCTCCAAGCAGAGGGGAGTGAGGGCGGCAGGAGAGCAGGAGGGAGTGGAGGGGTGCGTGGGGGCTCGGAGGCAGGCCTGTTGGCCTCTGAGCGCCCATCCTCTCCTCGCTCCCCGGAGAATCCTCCTCGTCTCGGGGGCTCGCCATCCACGTCAGTGGCGTCGACATTCACCCAGCTGGAAACCTAGCAGACATTCAGAAACGGATCTTTCTCCCTGATGCCCCAGCACGGAGTCCTGGAGATCCTGTTTCTGGCTGTCTTGAGTCCCTTCATCTCCACCTCCACCTCCCCATTCCTCGTCCCCGTCTTGGGTGACAGTGATTCCACCAACTCCAGTTGGGTTCCCTGCGGTCCATCTGCCACTTGGCAGCCAGCACCAGTTCTGCCGACCGGCCTGCCTTGCCTTCGTCTCCCTCCACTCCCCTCCAAGTGCCAACCCACCTGTACCCCTTCCAGCCCCACTCGCCCCAGGGCCTCTGCACATGCTGTTCCCTCTGTCAGGAACACTCTTCCCCCCTCTCCACCTGTCCAATGTCTATTCAACCTCCAGATCTTGCTCAGACGCCAACTCCTTTGGGAAGCTGTCCTGATGCCCGAGGTGGGCGGGGTGTTGTGTGTGGGTCCCCTGCAGAGTGTCCCCAGGGACTCCCTGCCGTGGTGGCCTGGTTCACTGCAGTCGCTTCGGGGCCTAGCACGGTGCGGGGCACACAGTAGGTTGTCAGGAAATGGCACTTGAATGAATGAGTGACTTGAATGAATGAGTGAGCGAGGGGTTTGTCCACTGCTGAGACAGACGTCTACCCAGGTGACCCGGAGCAGGGATGGGAGGCGCCTCCTGGGCCTCTGTTGCCCCACCTGAGTTTAACACCCTAAGCAGGATCTTGTGAGGGTGAAGGAGGAACTCTCTGAACCGCCCCTGCTCCTCCCGGACGGACAGGTTCCCACAAGCCCAGGCCAGCTGCTCTCCGGGGGCCGAGAGGACATGGCAGATACGTGGCGTCAGCGTGCTTGGGGTGCTGTTGAGAGCCCTGCGGGGAGCGGCCCCGCCTGTGGCCAGGAAATGTCTGCCCGCAAGGACGCCAAAGGAAATGCACAGCAGGGCCCTTCTTGGCAAGACCTGGGTCCCCTTCCGGGGCAGCAGGCCAGTCCCCTGCCTTGAGGGCTTCCCGGGGTCCTTGGTGGCAGTGCTGGTGGGGAGGGCTCACCCATCTGGCTCGACAGCCAGGCGCTGCGGCCGCCCTTGTGGTCAGAAGGTTTTCATCCTTGCTGGTGCAGGTGAGGTGCGATTGGAACACCCAGAGGCACTTACCCCATCATCCCCCAGATTCTAACCCAGGGACCAGGGTATGCCCGTCCCACCGACGGCACACCTGGCTTTGCCTTTCTTGAAGAGTTTTGGTTCTTGAAAAGCCTGCCCCTGGGGGAGCCTCCTCCACTCCCTCCTCCTCCAGTCCCCTGAACCCAAAGGAGAGGTGGGGGTGGAGAGGTGAGCCACACCGGAAGGGAAGGGTGGGGCTGGCCTCCTGTGCTGAGGAGTTGTGCAATGCACCAAGTGTAAGCACCAAGTCAGTCAGGAAAGGGAAAACCCCCCAGGAGTTAAATTCGGTCACTGAGTGCCCTTGACTGGTACCTGCATGTCTCTCTTGGAGGAAGTCCACCAGGAGTCTGGGAACCAGCCCAGGGTCCCCGAGGTGGGCCCTGCTGGCATCCCCCCCAGGACCCTTCCCCTGCAAGCCTGCCCAGCACCCCTGCCCAGCACCCTCCCCAGCACCCCTCCCTAGCGCTCCTCCCCAGGAGCCCTCCCCTGCACCCCTCTCTTACACCCCTCCCCGGCACTCCTTCCCAGGACCCCTCCCTAAGTTCCCACCTGGGCACCCCTCCCCAGGACCCCTCCCCAGGACCCCTCCACTGCACCCCTGCCCAGCAACCCTCCCCAGGACCCCTCCACCGCACCCCTCCCCAGGACCCCTCCACTGCACCCCTGCCCAGCAACCCTCCCCAGGACACCTCCACCGCACCCCTGCCCAGCAACCCTCCCCAGGACACCTCCACTGCACCCCTGCCCAGCAACCCTCCCCAGGACACCTCCACTGCACCCCTGCCCAGCACCCCTCCTCTGCACCCCTCCCCAGAACCCCTCCCCAGAAGCCCTCCCCTGCACCCCTGCCTGGCACCCCTCTTTGTCTCCTTTTTGTTCTCTGATGACTGGTTTACTGGGTTTGACCCCAGCTGTGCCACCTATTAGCCGTGTGAACTCTCTGTGCCTCAGTTGCTCCATCTGTGACATGGGGATAAAAGGAGCTACTTCAAAGATTGTGGTGAGGACTAAATTAGCTAATGATAACAAAACAAAGAGAATTTAAAACCGCCCCAGCCCACAGCCCACACTTTGGTTCCCCCAGAACACAGCGCTCCCTGGGCGCACGGCTGGCTTTCACGGGAAACTGCCAGGAGGAAGGTGTCACCTGAGGAAAGAACCCACAAGGGGAAACACATGTACACGCGCGTCTTATCAAAGCGGCATCTGCTGTTTTTCAAAATGAGTATGAAGATGGGCGCTCAGACCCCAGCATCCGCTGTGAGGCCTGAGTCATTTCACCTCCAGGCCCCGGTGACCCCTTGCAGAAAATGGAAACATTGCTCCGGCTGCTGCACGTCGTTGCAAAATGCATGAAAGTGGGTTGCAGGGTGCCAGGGCAGAGCAAGCCTTGGGACCAACGCTGTGCCCTCCTTCCCCTTCTTGCTTCTGCTGACTCTGGCATTGCTGCCATTGCTGTCATCTGGGTCAAGGAAAGGAGCAGAAAGAGAAGTGTGGGTCCCACAGGGAGCCTCCCTATTCCTTGGAAGGAAGAAAGTACCTGTTTTGGTTGGCTCAGCGGCGCCCTCGGCCATGCTGACAGCGGTGGTCAGGAGCCCAGGGACGGGGGGGCAGCAGCAGGCTCCTCCACAGTGGCCTGGAGCGGGTGGGCCGGGCAATGCCCAGGGGGTCCTTTCTGGGCTGAGCCTGGGGCTCTGGCAGCTGTGAAGGAGAGCCAGCTTCACCCGGGCGGGTGTAAGCCTTTCACACCCCGGAAATAGAGGTCTGGTGATCTTGACCTGATCAGCTTTCTAGAGGAAAAGAAAATGAAACTTCCCTGTGTGGCTTTCGAAAGAAACAGAATTGAAAGCACAACTGATGAGCAAGATGGGACCGGCCTGCAAATACACGTCAGTAGGGAGGAGCTGAGCTTGACAAGACCGGAGCATCCTCTGGAGCTAGGGGGTTTCCCCAACCTTTGGGCGCCCACTCCTGCCCACCTCACCCCCACACACAGGTGAGATGCCTAGGGGGTGCCCTGTGATCGTGTATGTGTCGAAGAGACATCTCTCTTTAATGAGTATCTATTATGTGCTCTCCAATCTCGTGTGTCCCCCGACCCATCTACAGGGTGGGGGCTGGTACTAGCCTCTTTTCTCGGAGGGGAAATTGAGGCTGGGGGTGGGGTGAGGTCACCTCCAAGGCCACAGAGATTCTTGGGTTCTGATCCAACCCCCCCACTTACCAGCTGTGTGACCTTGGGCAAGTTGTTTAACCTCTCTGTGCCTCATCTGTAAAAGGGGGCTAACAAAAGTAGCTACCTCAGGAGGTCGTGGTGAGGACTAAGGGGTTAATCCAGCTGAGCAGTGTGACCAGAGCTGCCAGGGCCATCCGAGGGTGTGAGCACAGGTGGGCACTCATATCCCTGTTTCCGGGAAAGCGACTCTCACTTTCATAAATTCTCAAAGGGGTCAGTGACGCCAGAGCAGTACAGAGCCTGTGTTCTCTTCCAGGTAATAGAAGGGGAAACTGAGGCCACAGAGGTAAGGGCTTTGGGTGAGGCAGCCAAGAGGATCAAGAACTCAGCCCCAGAAGTCCCCAGGCTCAGGGTCCCAGCGGCAGAGGCCTGGGAGGGCCTGCCGATGTCCTCGCTCTGGGGGACTCTTGCCGGGCATTTCTGCAAAGGGAGGGGCTCAGGAACACGTCCAGCCGTGGGAATGGGTCCCAGAGGAGGCTCCTCTGGAAGCTGTCACTGCAGAGCAAGCAGGACACATGCCGACGCCCTGTCCAGCCCAGACCAACTAAATCCAAATCTCTGGGGCGGGCGGGGCCGGGCGTCCCGGGGATTTCGTCCCCATCCTGGACAGTTCCCAGTTGGACCCCTCCGTACCAACAGGAAACCACAACGATGCTTTTGTTGTCCTTGTATGTAAAAGCACAGAATCGTGTATCTGTTAGTGACCTGAACATGCTAACTTTAAATGCGGGTAATCGGGGGTGTTGAGGGAGACGGTGGGGGCGCGTTCGGAGGGGGCTCCGCCGAACCCCGGCAGCTGGCTCGGAGAAGCCTGTGCCCGGAGTGGCCACCAGGTGGCGCCCGCTCACCAGCCTGGCCTGGTCCTGAAGCCACGGGGTCCCCACGCTGGCCCTCGGGCGTGCCAGGACCCTGCAGCGGGAACCGCTCGGAGGGCCACGCGCCGGACAAGGGTTCTGCTTTGCCTTTTTCAGGGCAACTCTGATCCGAGCTTCAGCCCTTCTCCTCCCTAGCTGTGTGTTTCTACCTCTCTGAGCCTCAGTTTCTTTAATTATAAAACGGAGATAATAAACAAGAAAAACCACACCATCTCACACTCAGTAGGTGCTCACAAAATTTGTGTAAGTTAGAAAATGTGATGTGATGCATGTCCACAATACAGCCTTAGACACTAGGCCAAAAAAAAGCAAGAAAGAGAAAGACCAGTTTACTGTGGGTGGGTTCCACCTTCCATAGCATTCGGTGACGTGTCTGGAATTCACGGAAGCTATGAACCTGCTGTGAGCGTCTCACCACCCTGAGTTGGATTCTCACTTGTAAAGATTTAGATTATCTTGTATTTCTCGTCTCAATTTAAGAGATTTTCGAGGTAATTTTGACTATAAGGATTGTCTTTACCCCAAATATCAGTGGCTTAAACAATACAGATACTTCTTTCCCTCTCCCATAACAGTCTGATAGGTGGTCCAGGTCTATGGTGTTGAGACCCAGGCCCCTTCTATCTTGTTGCTCTGCAGTTTGTGGCCTCCGTTCCCAGGTTGGCCTTATGTTCTAGGATGGCTGCTCAAGCCCCAGCCATCCCATCTGCATTCCTTCCAGCAGGAAGGAGGAAAGGGAAGAAGGGCAGGTGCCTCCCCTTTAAGAACACTTGCAAGTTGCACACACATTCCACCGACATCCCACGAGGCTCATGGTCTGGCCTACCTGCAAGGCAGTCTGGGGAAGACGGGCTTTATTCCGGCCCACCATGCACCGGCTGAAACGGAGATTTCTATTACTTCAAAATAGGGGACCACAGATATTGGAAGATACCTAGCCATCCCTGCCATCACGAGACTCTGCTGTCCCCCCAAGGAAGGAGCAAGGATACCCCCTCTGTGCCCTGAGGTGTGTCCGTTCACGGGAGCCTGTCTATCGAGCAGGTGGGAGGCTGAGCCCCTCAGGCTGAGTTCAGAGGCGTTTCCACATTCTGAGGGCCTCCCGTGCGGTGTGAAGGCAGAGGGCGAAGGGTTGGGACACAGGCACACGGGCACCTCCTTGCTCTCCTGGGGAGGGCCGCAGAGGCCCCAGGAGTCCCAAGATGGCCGGTCCGCCTGCCAGAGCCCAAGCTCTGTTTGCTTGGGAAGCACACTGCTTTTTCATGGCTTGTGTTTTTCTGGAAACTATTAGAACTCTCCGCCCAAACCAGATGATAATTACATGCTACTGATCTCGAGTCTTTAGATTTCTCTTTCTCTCCCTTTTCAAAGAGAGGTATTTTCACTGCTCATTGTGTTAGCAAAACCCATTGTCCTTCCACCAGGCGCATGGATGTTATCTTCACGCCTCCTGGATGAATTCCCCGCCACCAGGAGGCAGTGGAAAGGTCCCCAAATGGCGATAATGACGTGTCTTCAGTCAGGGGCAAAGGTCAGAGAACCGTAGGTGGCCAGAGAGAAGCAGGGACTGCACAAGGACCCAAGAGCTACCGGCAGAGGTGAGGAGCAGAAGGCCAGGCAGGGTGGGCCCGGCTCCTCTCGCTGCCCTTCAAGGCAGAGCTGTTTACTGGCCTCCACTGGTCACCTGTGTCTACTGGCGTCGGGCAGCCCGGGGGCTCTGGTCTGGGGGCCCCCGCTTTTCAGCTCTGTGCCTCGAGTGAGCCACTATCTTTCTGAGCCTCAATTTCTCCCTTTGAAAAAGGTGATCATAACAGCACGTACCTCTGGGTTGTTGCAAAGGTTAAATAGGATCGTTCCCCCAAGGGTCCTTGCAGAGGGCAGAGTGGGTACTGTGTGCTCAATGCACAGGGGCGAGTCGTGTCGTCGTCCTATGATCCCAACTGTCCCTCTCTGAGGTCGCAAAGCAACCCCATTTATTCATTGGGTCGTTCACCGAATAGTCGCCTGTGTCTTCTCTTTCCCAGGCCACCTGCTGGGGCGGGCGAGGGGTGGGAGAAAGGCCCCCTCACTGGTTCCTGGCTCCACTTCGTGTTCTGGCTGCAGAAGAGGCCACACCGCCGGGTCTGGGGGTTGAGAAGCGGCTGGTGCCGAGTCCTGGCCCCCCACCCCCACAGCAGCGCTGGCCACTGGAGGAGACCTGGGCAGGGGCACGTCCATCAGGTGGGCGGGCAGCAGCCCTGCCCTTGAGCGCTGTGGGAGAAACTTGAGGTTTTCCCCAAGGGCAAAGCAAGGGCC